CACAAAATAACTTCGACCCGGGAAAAAAAAAAGAAGGGTAAAAAACAGTTCTTTACCAAATCAAGAAAAGGAAACCCATGAAAATGGCACAATTGTTCAGCTGGGTTTTCTTGATATCTTAAAAATTGGGCAAAAGAGGGGGAAAACAACAGGAAAATGCACAAAAAAAGGAGCTGGAGAGAACAGAGACAGCTAAAAGTGAAGAGAAAACAGTGAGAATTTTCTGAATTTGAGGGAGGGGAAAAGAAGAGGAAAACAGATGGGTTTTTTTTTTCACCTTTTTCACTCCTTGATGTTAGAGCAGCCAAGAAAACAGGAGAAAAATTTAAACTTTAATTAAAAAAAAAAAAACAAGAAAAAGATGATTACAGAAGAATTGAGAAACGAATTCCAAATTTATATGAGATGGGAGAGAGATCTGCAGGAACAGAGAGTTATTGGGAGTGGGTTTTTGATGAATTTTTTGAGGTGGTGAGATGTGATTGGGTGTGATGGGGTTTGTGGGATACTGCAAATTTATGCAAAAGTTTTTGTCATAAACAAAAAAAAATTGGACACTCTTGTTGTCTGTTATTTTAATGGAAAAGAATGAGCAAAAATGGCAAACATTTAATTGTGTGTGTGTGTGTGTGTTTTCTTTTCTTTTTTCTTTTTCCTTTTTTTTTCACTTTTTTTTTCTTCTTCTTTGTAGTATTATTTATGAGAAAAGGATATATGAAGAGAGAGTATGGGCTGGCATTTCTCATCATCATAAATAATGGTGGAAGCTCAATACATCTTTTCTTTTTTTGGTAGGGAACTTCCGGTTTCTAGATCCACATGAGAACCGACTAATCTAGAATCGAGCCGGGAGCTAAATACATCTTTCGATGAGATGAGAAGGGTCACAACTCACAAGTATTCTCAATCTCAACATGGTAAATGGGTTTAATAAAAAAAAAAAAAATGTAAGAAAATAAAGATAAATAAAATTTAGCACGCTTTGCTCGTTTTTTGTTTAATAAAAAAAAAAAAAATGTAAGAAAATAAAGATAAATAAAATTTAGCACGCTTTGCTCGTTTTTTAGTGGCATCATGTCAAACTTATTTTGAGCTAAACGTGTATAATTAATTTTAAGTTTTCATTAAAAAAAAAAATATTGCATTAATGAACTGCATGTTTGCGCCTGCTTATAGACATGTTGAAGTATGTAATCACAGGAGATGCTACGGTCTCTTTACGGAATCATTTCGTCAGGTTTTGTAACTGTTTGATTAACTATTTCCGATGGTTACATGATGATCTAACAATTACAAATCTCGACGAAATGGTTTCGTAACGGGACCGTGATATTTTCTTGTAAGGAAAACGCCAAATTGGTGGTTGAAACCGTTAAGTTAAATGTTGACCACAATTCCAATTATAAAACATAATTAAAACTTTATTTTAGAGGTCTCGGTTCTATCACACTAATATTCAATTATGTGCACATGAACACATGTAAATAAAATGTTATAAATTATATGTATGCATATAATATGAAAATTATAAGTTTTATACCAGTATTATATCTTGAAAATTTATATAGTAGTAAAAACAAAAGGTACAAATTTACTTATCTCGGTATGGATCATTATATTGACGGGATAAAATGTAATGAATAAGGTAATTTGTATAAATTCTAAAATATCATGACTTATTAATTAATTAGCTGAAAATATTAAATTTACTACTTATAATAGTTGTTTATGCGATTTTAAGGCGCTTGACTATACCGTTAAAACATTTACAAACCATCTTCTAATGAAATAATAAAAAAAAAAGATAAAAATTAATTTAGAATAAGTAAATTGAAATAAAAGCTTTTACAATATAATTATTTTTACTTTAATTTTAATTTAATGGGCCAACCCATATAGCATTGGCCTATATATGTACTATTGATATAAACTAATTGGATTTAATATAAAATAGAATTAACTCTTATGAGTGCCCATAATAATAATATAAGATTAAACCAGACTAGGTGGTCTAATTGGATAGAGACTGATTAATTAAAGTACCCTTTTGCTTCAAAGATTTAAAGACCATTATTTGTTGTCAACAGGTGACTGACCAGACGGCCAATATGTTCCTTGTTTGTACTTAAAGTCAACTAACAACTGATTAAGATTAAGATTAAGATTGACTCGTGGCATTGTTTAATATAGTTGTTTTTTTTTTATTTTATTTTAAGATGGCAACTATATAATTAAGATTACGAAGTACAAACTTCATGTTGAACCATTATATAAACCAAAGTCAACCACGACCCCAACCCAAAAGGCAATAAATAATTAGTGAAAAAGATAAAGATAAACGTGGCGCACCAATTTGTAGATACTAAAAAAGTTTAGAAATATATATATATTGGCAGTATAATCAAATTTTTAGTGGTGATTATCCATTTTATTTATTAATGTAACAAAAAAAAAGGGGTCCTAAAATGTTTTCCACCAAACACAGAAGAAAAAAAAAAATATCTGTACCTTATTTTTTTTTTCAAGTTTTAAGATTTTTTAACTCTAGTTTTTATACTTTTTTTTTTGTTCGAATTTCTACTAGTTAGATTTCGTAACCTTTTATAGGTGGCCGGAATTTTAAGCAAATGACACAGAGAAATGCTAAGGTCCTGTTACGGAATCATTCCGGAATCATTCCGTCAGAATTTCTATGCCGTCAGATCATTTAGCTAAACTTTGACAGAATGATTCCGTTACAGAACCGTAACATCTTCCTAAATTTACATATAGCATTATACTTATAATCAAATAAAATAGATAACACAAAAACACAATAATAAAACATGACCAAAACGATTTGCTACCTGCATTCGCAATTATTACTGTTTCAGAAAATTCCCAAAAAACATCCGACAGCACAATACTCATCCTGTTTGCCCTTGAAGACGACCCCCAGAATAATTCATTGAAAATGCATTAATTTGCAAGGAAAAAAAAAAAAACACGGTGATAAAATATCTTAATCATTCTTCTACTTCTCATGAATGTTGAACATTGGAAGGGACCAACACAGAAATATTATAGAACATAAACATTTATAGCTTCAGTATAAATTTTTGCTTCTTTTTTTTGGGCATTCTCGAGTCCAGTGGCGATAGTAAAATCCCCCCTAATAATATCGAAGGGGAATAAAACAAATATAAGCTCTCCATCAAATAGCTTCTATAATTTCAACCTGCAAATGAACTGACAGATGAGCATTTTAAGTCAGTGGTTTAAGAAATGATTTTCGATAACCTACGAATTCAAAACAATTACCTCATCAAAGGTCTACAGAGATTCTAAGCCCATCACGTGCGAGCTGAATTGGTATCCCTTCACTGGAAATTTAACAAAAAATCAACGGCATCATTATATGCTCGGTCCATGTTGAGGTTAGATTTTAGTACTAAATTATAGAAATACTAAGTACAAGATTTATGTTATTCACCCTAACAAAGATAGAAATATCAGCAAGTCCACTATCCACTTAATGTGATTCAACCTAACAAAAAGATTTCACAAAATAGGTATATATGGAGCGACAATATGACAGGTATATTCTTTGGCAGGGGATTGCTTTGTAATAGACATAAATAATAAAAATCCTACAGACAAATACCTTTTGGACCATTCCTCGAGAAATTCATTGTCTCTGTGGTGATCAAACTCATGGGTCATCCCGATAAGCAAAGCTCTCTTGGGGCGTATCCTCTTAACGGCATCGAGTGTCTGTTTAGATAAAAAAAAAATCATCAACTTAAGTTAACACGAGAAGAATATTTGCCACAACCAAATAATAATGATAGTGATAAGTGATAACAATAACAATAACAATAACAATAATACCTGAGGGAAGCAGAAGTGAGTGTTGTGAGATCCTTTCTGCAAAAAGTTAGAAGCAAAATGTTTTCATTCTGAATCAGTAAATCATTACTGACAGAGCAGTAAGGAAATCAAAGGAAGACCATAGATTCCAACCTTGTATAATGTGTCCAGTATAAGGAGATCAAGCTGCCGACCACTATCTTTCGCAATACCTACATCAAAGCAGATGATTTTTTTTTTTTTTTTTCCCCTATATATATATATATATATAAACCTCCAAGGGCAACTAAAACTACAAGCAACTGGAATGCTGCTTTTCCAGTCTTCAGGCTCACACGCAAGGTGTTTTTTTAAGTTGTTATTTTTATCAAGCTGCACCTAAGAATCATTCTGAGCTGTTCATATACTATGGATTTTTTTCGTTGTGCCGATATGTTTTCTTTTTTTTTTCCCCTTCATAAAAAAAATGTTGGGGAAGCATTCCATGAACAATAGAACAGCCGTCCAAATGTTGACTTTATAAGAAATGTGAGATACAATAATACAGAAAAGACATTGCAGGACATAAGTTAAAGAGAACTAACAGATTAAAATGCTATATGATTAGAATAACAGTGCTTACAGCATTCTGTGGCTGGAAGAAAGCGTGAAATGTCTGATATATATGCTACTTTATATCTTTCACCAAATAAAAAACCAAGGCATACATAATCTTCGCCATGCATCACCTGGTTAGAATATAAGAAAAGGGGAGTAACATCAGAAAATGCTCAAGTACCATCTATAAACAAAGCATAATGCCTACCTAAGGCATGTTTTTTACTTTCCATATGATACTATAATAAGCACGATGCAATACTAACCGGCAGAGGAACAAAATGCAGGCCAGATGCCATGAACTTTTTTGTGCAATCATTCTCTATAATTTTCCACTCAAGTTGAGCAACACGCCTAACTTCCTGACCAGGCTTGAGTTTTTTCTGAACCAAGTAAGGGAATTTCACTGCAATGCTGTTAAAAAACGATTAACAAGCAAAGGCACATGGCGTCGATTGCAACTACAAACAAAAAATACTTCAAGGTTTAATAAAACAATGGCTGGTAATCAACATTCGAAGTCAAGATTTTAGAATCATGATGGTAAACATATACAACACATTGCTATACTTTAGGGATCAGTAGTTCATAGGTTCAAGTCTCAAGGTTATCATCAAACTTCATACCGTATGAAATTTCCTATCTGGCAACAAAATTGTAGCAAGTATACATGTTCTTCACTGGGAATATTAAAAAGTAAATATGAACATCTAACCAGAGGGTGTGAATAATACTTTTCATATGATAGATTAAATTTTTATGTTCCACAGATTTCATTTTTCTAATGTAAGATGTTACGGTGATTTCTTGTTCTAAAATAAGTAAAAAATGACAATAAAAAACAATGGTTAAGTTATCATCATTAATTTACCTGATCACACCAGAAAAATGGGAGAAGATCCAATTAATATTATAAGTAGGATTACAGAAAACTACGCAAATCGAAATATACCTCTCCATTGCATCTTGTGTGAGGTAGATGGGAGTTGGGCTGATATCATTTGTTGGACTAAAGGGTTGCACAGTGCGTATATCATCCAAACCAAGAACAGCATCAGCATGCTCATGAGTCAATATAATCTGCAGAAGTGACAAAAATTAGCAAATCAGATCATGATAACTGTAAATGAGTTATTTATCATTAACGGATGAAGAATATGCAGAAACGGATGAGTAATATCCTGCTGTTGGAATGTTAGCCAGATCATAAACTGGATCTCCAGTTGTGCACTCTTTACTCTTTATTTCTTGTTCATCTAGACAAATCAAATTATGCATGGGGTTCTATGTTGTGCTCACTCTTTTTCACCTTAGTACTTCTCATATTCCCTTTTTCTAAAGTAATTAATAAATGTAGCACAGCCTAGGCCAAGACATGATGTCTACAAAGGAAAATTCAACAGTATCCACGACAATGGCTACATTAATGAGAGCTGAAGAAAATGTCCTTATTTTCTCCCATATTTGAAGTACTTAAGAAGCATTTTTGTCTTTTCCTACGAGTGGTGAACTTCAAAAGGCAAGTTCCCTGTCTGATTGCACGCCACCTACCTCCAATTTTATTTGACCAAACATGGCAGATAAGCACAACTAATGTGGTAACTATCCTCAATTATCTACTGTCAAAAGTTTCCAGATACACTCATTGAGAGACATCTATAACATCAAATGGAGCAAATGTCCGTGGGTTTGTTAATCCAGTATGAGGTGATCGAATGTGATTTTGTTCCATATGACAGTACCAAGAGCATAGCAGGAACCATGATTTGAATCAGTTTATGGGTTACATGTGATCCAAAACACCCACACAATTACGTAGATATACACACAAAATTATTAGAGCTGGCGGAAATAGAAAACTCACTGAATCTACTTGTGGTATCTTATGAAAGGTGAACCACCGCAAAACTTGCTCCCTAAACGTCTTGCCCACATCAATCAAAATATATTTATGTTTTCCCTCGCTATCACAATAATCAATTAGGAGGGATGTATTGCACCTACAATGCCATCATCAAAAGAAATAATCAATAAACAACAATAAAAGTTGCAATAGGCGCAAGATGACTTTAACCATCGAGAAGAACTCAAGAAACAGTAATTTTAACCAATATTTCATTATCGGACAGAGACATAAATACTAGAATTGGGGGATGCAAGAAACCCCTTGTATATTCACGGTAGGGTACAACGACTTTATTCCCTTAAGGTCTTTTGGTAAATATCAGTTTACCCAACAAATTCAGGATATTCAACAACAATTGAAAAGTCGAGGAGATACAGAAAACTTGTGCAATCAATGTGAAGTCATTAAAAACAATCCCACACTAAGATAGTAAGATATATTATTAAGGTGGATAAAAAGCAACAAAACTAATGTCCGCGGAAATACAAGAAAGAACGACTACTCGGTAGGTCCATCATTGAAAAACAACTAGTGCAGGGTCTATGAAACCTTTGCCACTCAACCAGAGTCCAACATACAAAACAGAAATGCAAGAAAATCACTCCAAGATTCAAACTTGGAAGGAAACCGTTAAATATATTGAGCAATGAACTCCAAGATTTATCGAGAGCCCTTGATAATTGATTCGAAATACACGCAATCACAACATTAGCTACTCGATACTACGAACTATACACCATGGTCAATGGATTCCACGAAACCTTGATCATCAGGCCGTTAAAGGTAGCAGATCATGACCAATGAAGTCCAATTTTTTCCACATTTTGAGAAAACTGAAACAAATCGCGGGAAATGTTGGTAAAAACCTGTAATTAGGGTTCTGATCAGGCGGTAGGGTTAAAGACTGGGAGCAGACGTGACAAGGAGGATCATCCGGCTGGATCAAGCACATCGCATTAGGCACCGCGCTCGAGCAGCCGGTCCCGAGAAATATTAACGCCGATCTCGGCGGCTCCGCATTGCCGTTCTCGGCCACCTCAGTTGCCATGTCGCCGACGTACTTTGTCTCCGGCGTGCGCCCAAGCGAATATGGTGGAGAGGAATATCTGAAGATGCTTTCAGCGAAAGAGAGTACGATGACGAATTGGTTAGGTATGATTTTTTCTTTTTTATAACTCAATTTTATTTACCTAATCACCCCTTTCCAAACTTCTCAGTTCCTAAAGTTTCTTTTTAGTGCCAGTACCTAATTAGTAATTAGACTAATTCGGGTCCTTTCAATTAACTTCCTAATACTAAAATAACTCATAAATAAATTAAAAAAAAAGTCATATCGCCACACTACAATTATTAATTGTACAACTCATAAATAATTTTGCCAAACAAGTATTGGGTATCTCACGTTATTCTCTTCTTCCATATATCTTGACTTACCTTTTAGAATTGGCAATTCTAAAATTGAGACCTTTGAATTTGTGAAAAAGACGGTCAAAAAAAGATTTCTATTTTGTATGTTGGACTCTGATTGAGTGGCAAAGGTTTCATAGACCCTCTGCTAGGGTTTTGTCAACTAGGATATGAATACGTAATTTACGAGTCCCTCTGCTAGGGTTTTGTCTCTCTTCAGAGTTTTCCCGTTCTCTTAATGGGATCTGGTTCTAGTATTGGGGCCTCCGTTTGGATTCTTCAATCTTGTTTGTTGTGCTCGTTTTGTTTGTGTCATTTATCTGCGTTTGTCTAGGGTTCTTGCTTTCTATGCTCTTAACTTCTGTTTTCCTTTTTGTGTTTCTTTCTAACCTATTTACAGCTTAGCTCAGTGGTGTTTAACAATTCTGCCAGTGTGATTGAAGGTGCTATGGCAGAGGAGGTGGCGGACAAGCTTCAGAAATTCGCCCTTTACGATAAGGAAAGTAGAGGGGTAAACATAGTAGCGACAGATATTCAGTTGGGCGTACAGGAATGTAAACTTAGTCTTATCGGTAAATTGTACGGGGCTAAGAAAGTGAACTTTGGGGGCTTTAAATCGACAATGACTGGGATATGGGCAACGCGACTGCCATTCTCAATTCGAAGCCTAGGGGAAAATGTATTCCAGTTCATATTCTAGTGTGAAGAAGACAAAGATAAGATTTTGGGAGGCAAAACCAATGTCCTTAAACAACCAATTCACAAATCTTTTTTTTTTGACAGTCTTTTCCTTACACAACCAATGTCTTTTTGTAATGCAACTCAAAGTCGGAGTCCTTGTGAAGGTCTTTTAATATCAAGCAAGGTTGTAACCAGGTTCATCTCTCTATTTATCCTTAATTATACTTGAGACCCCACGAGAGTTTGCTCTCGAATGCCCCTTTGTCCGAAAATTGGACATTCTGCAAGTATGAGCTATATTGCACTTCCGGATGACAAACGACTGATAACCTTTGTATCTTGATACATGTATTCTCCATCGATAATCCTCATCGGTACAACAACAATGACCTTCTGCCTATCACTTTTCGATACTTAAAAGACCGCCTATTAGAAATCGCGTAGTTTTAACACGCTTTCAAAATTCATCTGCGCCACTCAAAATATGTCCCTCTCATTTGACGCAAAATCTCCAGAAATCAGTCCAATTATCTTGCAATAACTCAAATTCCATCATACGGTGCGATTTCTCTGCGTTCATGACAAAATAATACAAAGATTTATAAATAATGTAACTTGTTAAAAAAAAATAATAAACTAGGATATCATACAACTATACCATATTTCAATAATAATTCATTACTATTATGAAAGCAACATTACTTGCTCATGCTCATTGGGTGATTCAACTCCATGATCCGGTCTTTCATCATTTTCAATGGCAAGTATCTATGCCAAACATTTAACCAAATCACGTTTTTCAGATCCTATTCACTGGACAAACTAACTTTTTTTTTTTTCATTTGACGCAGTATGACATAACATAACGTTCGGCCACCTCTTAGCAATGAAGGTGTACATTTCATCAAAAGTTGATTCAATGTGCATAGAAAACACAAACAATTCATCAACTCTCAAATACATCACTTTGTGCCCCTTCCATATATCTATCAATAATTTGATAAAATTAAACAACTTCAAATTCTCTGGTATCAAACAGTGATGACAATGGTACTACATACTCAAACAGAGGTACAATAATTTATTATTGTTCGAATAATTAAAAAAAAATAAGTGTTAAGCATACTTTAGTGAAAAAAAAAAAATAGAAAAGCTTGTTTGAGAGCACGTTCAAGCTCAAATAAAGCACATTTGTTCAACAATGGAGTCAAAGCTTCAACAAAATAACACATAAAAGGTGTTTAGTGAAAATCACAAAACAAATGCTACTGGTAAAAATGTTCAAAATGACAACTTTAATTCTCACAAAGGTAACATAAAGTTTCCAACAAAGCTTTTAAAACACATCAAAGCTTAAAAGAACTCACATTTTGTTATAATCTACTACAGTAGCTGGGAAATCCAAATCTCAACAGGTAGCCACATATGATCTGACAAACAAGTGGATTATTCGAAATTAATATAAGTAACAAAGGGTCCACACTCGAACACAAATTAATATAAGTAACGAAGGGTCCACACTCAAACACATCACAAAGATGTTCCTATCGAGCATGCAATGTACCTGCAACACGAAACAGGAAAAATGCACAATTATGAACAAAAATCCCTCGTTTAGTATTTTGGAATGAAGTTTTCGATTAGTTAAACGCATAATAGGATGGCACACTTACTGTTATTAGCTTCATCTTTTACTTCGTCATCACCCGTTTTCCACACTATATCTTTGAGCCCGGTTGAGAGGTTCTTATAAAACTGTATACGAAGAAACCCAAGCATAGAACAATTATACATTTAAAAACAAAATATATTACGAAATAAATATAAGTGAAATGGTAATAATAATGTGAAGAATCTGATAAAATTGTCCAGACATTCATAACTGTGTTTTTGCCGTTAATAATAAAGCTCAACGCTATTTATTATTACCTTGTGAAATTCTAATGTGTCTCCACCAGCCTTGCGAAGCTCTACCATGTGTAGCGAAGGAGCCACTTCAAATATCTGTAAGTGCATTTTTTAGCCAAAAAGACCAATTTTAACACAGACACACACATATTTGTAATCATGAGCAAGTGATGATTTTTTTAGAGAAAATGATATGTTCCTTCATTAACATATTTACCTCTGTTGTGATCGACAAATGCCCTTTTCGCCCAGATTTCTCCCCATGGAGTTTCATCTGAGAAGAAATAGTAAATCCCAAGGTCAACAGGGATTAATAAACTACACATATAAAATTAGTGCTTCCAGTTCATCATTGTTATTTAGGAAATAGAATAAGGGAATTGTTTCAGAAAGCCGAAATCAAAAAGAAAAATTAGTATATACTATTCTTCATGATAATATTGAGAATTAAGAGGAAAAGGCATTATATACCTTGTAGTTGTTTTTCTTCACATCAAAACCCATTGGTGCAGCAGCTTGCTCGATTTTGGAGATGATGTCATTAGCGGGACTTTTTGATGTGAATCTGGTTTCACGCTTCACGAAGCCCTGAGTAAGGGGAAAAAAAGTCGGCACATTTGAGATTTCTCATAATTACAATAACCCAATTGGTACGCAATTTTATTAGTGATATACCATTTGTTTTTCAAAAAGGGAACTGAGATTAAGACCCTGAGAAGTAGAAATAAGCTCGAAAGCATTCATGGCCACCGGTGCTGTGGCAGTTCTTTCCTCCCGCCTCTCTACAACCAAATTCAGAGAGTCCTATAAAAGTAAAAAATTAAATTAGATAATTAATAAAGAATAACAAAAATAATAATATCGTTTAGAAAACTAATTTTTAAGGAAAATAAAAAAAATAATAGAAAAAAAAAATAGAGCAGCAGGGAGATCAGATTACCAACCGTTGATTCATTGAAAATAGAATTAACGTCATCGAGAGTGACTTCCTCGTGTTCAAAAACCGGTGTTTTGTAACCTTTCTTGAACCAGTCATTTTCAAGAACCTCAGCAATCGTGATACGCTGTTTCATGTAGGCACAGAAAATTCAGGTTATTATGAAATTATATTTCTTTGGTGAGTTCTTATTGAGAAATTAAATTATTTTCAATCTACAATTTCCAAGAAAAGTAAATATACACACAACTTACCAAAACAATATCCACTAAAATCGCGTATTCTGTATGAAAGTTCTCACTTCTAAATTTACGCAAGAAATGGAAATTCACATCTTACGAACATACTCAAAACATGGAAACTCAACAATCTTATTTTTGTTTCCAATGCGAAGAGTGTAACTTATTAAGATTGATTTTCATCACTTAACAGGCAAGGATGAGTGTGCATACTGTTGATGGATTTGGGTCGAGGATTCTTTTGATTAGTTTCTTCGCACTGGACGAAAACCATGGTGGGCATGTAAAGTCTGCCTTAAATATCTGCAATCAAATTAAAACAACATTAATTGTGTTCATCACTTTAGGAGAGTAACCAAATTCAATGACGAATATAATTGACAACACCAAAATTACCTTTTTGTACAGTGCCATAAGATTCGACTCTTCAAACGGCAGATAACCAGCCATAAGTACGAAAAGAATAACACCACATGACCAAAGATCCGCCTTTGCTCCATCATATCCCTTATTGTTGATCACCTAATAAAATACACAGAGAGTTTAAGTATAAAAAACTGTCATTCGGAAAAAGACAATTAATTTATCAATCCACACTTCCAATAGCATACCTCAGGGGCCACATAATTCGGCGTTCCGCATGTCGTATGAAGTAATCCATCTTCCTAAAAACAATAATTCGAGAAAATTAGATTAAGCACGGTATTATTGTTTTTACTTGTGCAAAATTATAGGCAACTAGAATCTTGAAATGAAAACAAATATTACCCGAACTTGCTGAGGTAAGGCACTCAACCCAAAGTCGGAGACTTTGAGAAGTCCATTAGCATCAAGCAGCAAATTCTCTGGCTGTCAATCAAGAAAATAAGTTAATATTATAAGTATATGTACATTTATCCTCAAGATGAATGATTTTGAGAAAAGTAGAGAAACATTTTTTTTTTTTTTTTAAGTGGCTCACCTTGAGATCCCTATGGTAAACACTCCTGCTGTGACAAAAATCAACAGCATTGATGAGCTGCTGAAAATATTTCCTAGCTTCATCTTCCTTCAGCCTTCCACTAGAGGCCTGGACAAAGTAAATCAAAAATGATTGTTGGGATTTTAATAACATTGCTAATAATCAGATTATCGCCGTCATCTGTTCATGGAAAAGTGGGAAAGGCTTTAATGAGCATACTATTTTGTCAAAGAGTTCACCACCAGTGACAAATTCCATGACAATATATATCTTTGTCTTGCTTGCCATAACCTACAACAGATATCAACTCTAAATCATTAGCTGAATTTTCAGCTATTGTAAATTGGCGTGCATATCAACATCACAAATACATGCAGAATTTGTTTTTTTCTAAGAGTAAAATACTACCTCAAACATGCGAATTACATTAGGATGCCTTATTAATTTCATGGTTGAAATTTCGCGCTTAATCTGCAACAGAGACAAAATGAGTAGGAAGATGTAGAGATAGAGATAGCGAGTAAATATGGAAAATAATAATAAAGAACGTGTGAGCATACAGAATCAAGAACGTGGTTACGTGCAAAAACCAGGGCGAATTCTGATAGTTCCATTAGAAAATGACCAAAATAAGTACAGAGAAACACTAAGCATTATCACTCATCTACAATTAAAGGAGAAAATTTGACAATAATTACTCAAACATGGCAGCCGTGTTACCGTTATCCTAAAGACGTATATATACTACAAACATAAAAGTTGAAACTTCAATACACTTTTTCAATCAGATTCTGTTTAAAACCAACTACTGCATTTAATGAAAAAGTTGACAAAGTTCAAAAGCTTAACCACCTTCATGACAGGCAATTAGGAACTACTCAAACACTTCATATCAATCAGTGAACAATATTAATCCTTAATCCTCATACCCCACACTCTTAGGCAGAAAAGCAAATATATCTCTTTTATCTGTAGCCGTAATGGCAAACAAACCTGTCTAATAGGATTCATTCAAGATGATTCATTAATATTAAATTTCACAGAGCACCATCATGAACTTAGATTTAAAAACCTCAAGGAAGTTCCCAAAGACAACATAAAAAAGCATACATTTACTGAAAAGCAAAAAAGGATGAACATAAATTGAAAGCCAAGCTAGAGAAGTAGTTTGATACATAAACAAAACAAATCCGAACAGATCAAGAAATTATGAAAGCAACAAAAGGACAAAGGAAACTTTAAGGTGAAAAAAAAACACACCTGGCCAATCATCTTGTGCTTCAAAACCTTTTCTTTATCAAGAATCTTGATAGCAACATTCTCACCCGTCTCCAGATTCCTAGCAAACTTCACCTTGGCAAAAGTCCCCTCTCCCAAAGTCCTCCCCAGTTCGTACCTACCCACGCGCGTCTTCCCGTTGTTGTTAGCCCCACGCGCGTTCCCTCCTCCTGGGCTCGATCTCGACGACATCACCATCTGGGCTGCCCTGTCTGCAACCGATCTGTGTCTAAAAAATTAAATAAAGATCGAATCTTTCTTCTTTCTAGTGAACCCTCAAATATTGCTTTCCCTGCCCAATATGCAAATCCCATCCATCTTTCCTTTTTTATTTGATTTCTTTCCTTCTTCAATTCAAAAAACTCTCCTTTTTTTTTATCTCTAAACCCTAAGATGCTATAACCTCTTCTTCTTGCACGGCTGCCACACTTGAGACTTTGCCACACTCATCTTCCCTTTCTTGAATATGCTTTTTTTCTCACAGAAAAGTTGGAAAAGGGGAAACCCCACAACAGAGAAAGTTGCAAATTATATGAATATAAGTCCTGAATCAGAATCTGAGGATAACAACGCAAACGCCATTACTAGTCGACGAACAAGATGGATGAGACGAAAAATCCCTTTTTTTTTTTTGGTCAAAAAATTGGTTGGTTTCACATATTGTTCTTGATGTGGGCCGAGACGTTCATTAAATAATGAGGTTTTTGAGGTGCAAATGGGGATGATGCGACGAACGGAAAAGCTGAGAAACCGATTGAGAGTTTAAAAATCCTTCAAATGACTTTTCAGGGCAGGGCGGGGCACGATAAAACACGAGGAAGGTGGCAGGTTGAGTCAACCGAGGAAGATGACGAATTCCGGGTGGGGGCGGGGTATGGTGTGGTAGGGCGCAAGGATGTTTATTGTGAGCCCTCGCAAAGGACAAGTCAGAGAATAGGAAATGCAAAAGAGTCGGTTGGTCAGCAAATTTGATAGAGTTGACCGCCGCACATGGTTTCCTGTAACAACCTTGTTTTGTCAAAACATAAATACTACATTGTCAAATGTTTTTTTTTTTTAAATTCCAAATTTTAAAAAGTTCTTACAAATCCAAGTCGGTGATTGTTTATAGTTCCAATATTAAAATAATCGGAGTAGTTTTTATTTGATTTATTTTTAACTATAATTAATTTTAAAAAAAAGGTGATGTGGTTAGTTGTTAGTGGATATATTAAAATAATATTAAAATAAAATAATTAAAGTTAATTTGATGTAAAGTAAGAGAAAAATGATTGGAAGTGATAGTTAGTTAGAATTATGTGAGTGGATGAATAGTAAATTAAAGTTGATGTGATGTGTAAGAATGATTAGTTGATATTATTTAATTATATTATTAATATTGAAGATAGTGGAGTAGAGTTAAAGTTGAGTTAAATTTGAGTTTTAATTGGACTTTTTACTATTGAATTTATATACAATCACACCTTTAAATACTCCATGATTTTGTAAGACTTTTAAAAATTTTAATCGAATAACTCAATGCTTTTAAAAATCTTGAGAAGTCCAAATTAAAGACACCAAAATTTCTAAAGTCCTATAAAGTTTTTAAAAGTCCTTATAAATCTCAATTAAATACACCCCTTAAACTTAACATTTCATATAATTCTTCCCAAATTTAAAAATTCTAAAAAGTCTCAAATCTTAAAAAACCTTAAGATGTCACTTAAATTGTTAATTGAATTCACCACCTATCTACCTTGCAAAATTAGAGAATTTAGTACTAGTGCAAGTGTATGTTTAATTTATTTCTAATGTAATTAAGTGATAATACTTTGTTAATGCAATTTGCAAATTGTCAACTTTTACACAGTACACCATCGACTGCATTATATCCGACCCAAAATAATTTTTAAGCCTTTAGGTATGTAAGGATTAAAAATAGAATTTCAAATTTTTTTAACCAAGTTCTCATAATAATTATCCCGGCAAAAATTAAATTTTTGGTTTTCTAAATTGGCCATTGTCCAGTTTTGGTACACAAACTTTCCTCTCATCAAAATTAGTCCACTATGTTACAATTTCATCAATTTTAGCACAGTAATCTCAAAGTGCCGAATTGCGTGATGACGTGGAAAATGATTGAAACGACGTGGATGGATAGGACTTTGACGTGAATGAATTACAATTTTTCACGTCATCACGTAATCCGGTCCCTTGGGATTACTATAGTAAAATTGACGAAAATTGTTTGGACTATTTTTTATGAGGGAAAATTAATGTACCAAAACTCGACAATGACTAACTTAGAACACCAAAATTGGATTTTTACCTAATTATGCCTATATGTCCTTTCTATCGAAACTTAATCGCATTATTAATGATTAATAATCAAACCAAAATAAGAGAAGATCTGACCATGTCGACGACTATAGTACAATTATCGGCTTAGTGTTACTTTGTAATTTGTATTGCATGATTGAGCTAAACAAATACTGATTGCGTGCGTTTGGAAGCTTTCTCCTCCATGATTGAGTTAAAATATTCATTTTGCTTTCTTATTGGCTATGGTTGATACCTCATGCTAAGCATGTTGTAAGCCGGATGACATTTTTTAATTCTTAACTTTATTTTGGGTTTTATTCAATTTTCAACCTTGTGTTTGAATTATGTGATTGTATAGATACGGAAGCACTGTTTTTAAACCGGCCCGACGGGTCGACCCGGGACCCAGCCAACCCGGAGCGGGTATCGGTCCGGGTAGGCTATTTGGACCGGATAACAACGAATTCGATCAAACTCGGCCAACCCGGCCTTGATCTGGTCGACCCGGGTAATTGACCCGGCCGGGTCAACCCGATTGACCCGGTCCTTATATATATATTTTTTTAAATATTTTTTTATACAAAATAAAAATTATTTAAATATATTGATATAGTAAATATTTATTGTGAGATATAATTTTTTTAACATTTTAATGTCAAAATTTTATATGTAAAATATTTATTTTTATTATTTTTATGTATATTTATATGTCAAAAATACTATATATGTAATTTTAAAAAATTTTAAATTAATTATCCGGTTCAGCAATTGACCCGGAGACCTGCCCGGGTCAATTTTCGGGCCGAGTTTAAAAACTATGACTGGAAGTCTGAAAAATTCATAGTCCCCAAATTCTGAAAATTGTGGTGTTACGTGAAGCGCTCTAACACAAACAATACACCAATCATTGAATTTAATTAGAATGCGTTTGTATATAAGAGAAGAAGAGAGAAGACCAAAAGGTCGGTCAGTCCCAGCCGTCCGATGGGGTGAAATTAGACTGGTAAAAACAGGCCGAGGATCGAGGGCTAGCCTGCCCCACCCTGCAAAAAGAGTGGGTCGGGCTGAAATTAGACGTCGTCTTCGATTATCTTTATTTTTCTTATTCGATTGCACTTATTCAGGGAGATATTTGTCTTTGGCATTTAGTCGAAAGGGGAAAAATAAGATGTTTATGAAGATGTTGGGGCTAATGTTTTAGTCGTTTGCTCCTAATTATTATTTTTTTTTTTATGTTGTTTTTGACATATTTCTGCATGATGTAAGAACTTCTATTTCCTGTTGAAAAGGGGTTTTCTGATTGTTTTCATTCTGACACTTAAGTTCCGATTGTTTGATGTGTTTTAATTGGTTTGATTATAGTTCTCTTATTTGTTTTCATAGGAACAGTTATGATGTTCTTACATTGCAGGTGTTTGAGTATTCACTTTCTGATGTTCGAACATAGATATTTATTTTGCTGTGAGTTTGTTTTTTAGGTTGTCTTCAAGAAACACGATTTCCGAATTAAGTGCCAAAGGGGGAGATTGTATAATACCGATCGACATCGTCCAACAAACATAAGTGTTTTGTAGAAGATTTTCTTTTTAGGAAAACAAAATATATTAAATGAAAGTCTTCTGTTTATTTGTTTGCGAATAAATTAAGTTCCTAATATTTATTATCAATAATATATAATATATAATTATTATAGTATGTATTATAGAGTCTTATAAACCCTTTCAGAGAAGAATTATATATATATATATATATATATATATATATATATATATTTGCTTATTATATATGTCATTTGCATTAATTAGTTTGATTATATGTCATAATTAATCTTCTCTCTCTTGTATAACAAGAAATAAATGGTAAAGACTATGAAATGATGAACTATCCACACATGAAGGATATAATTTAAAAAAAAAATTAATTAAAATTAAGGGAAATTACGTCCAAGTTATGAAAGAAGTCCTTGGATGTAAATCAACCTCACATGAAAATGGCAATGCATGGGAATAAGAATTTATCCGCCATCCCCCCACTTATGCGGGGTTCAAACAGCGCCATAACGTCTTTTCTATAGTGGTGACGAAGGGTGGAAAAAGCTCCCCGAAAACCAGGCGAACCAGCACCCTGAACATTCCATGTGATAATCTTCATGAGGAAACCAACAAAGAAAGACAAAAGTCCCGCTCAAGCCAGGCCCTGGGCCTGCTGAATCCCGCTCTCATCCATGCTCATGCGTTCATCCGGAATAGCGTCCGAGATATCACGTAATCGCGGGTCCTCCGGCCACGGTTCTTGCCTTCGTAAGTTGTGCCCATCCTCCTCCATGAGAGCATCCTCCTCCGATCCCTTATTATTTCAGACTTTATCGAGGGTTCGTGACCATATTGTTTTCTTTTATTCGGGTCAATTCTTCATCTTACACCACTGACGAATTGAATTACTTTTTTCTTTTTACAAACACATTGAGTGCTTAGGGCTTAAGTAATTTTGTAAATGGAAGAGATCCATTGCTATTTTTTAAGTCCACTGTATTTTTGAAGTTCACAAACTAACAGGTTTGAAATGTGCTCAGAAAGCCACAAGGCTATAACATTAAAATTTTCCATAAACAAATCACCAGAAAGCCAAACACTATAGCATCGAAATTACCTTTTAAAAAAGAAAAAAGAAAAAAGAAAAAAGATCCTCAACTTCTACCATTAAAAGGAGTTGCATTTAAGGTTTTGATTTTCTCCTAAAATCATTCTTGCGCCACACATAACATGCAATCCTTCAAACACCACCAATCCAAGCATGATATCAAAGTCAAGGTCTATACAATCAAATCCACGAGATTTGTTCAAATAAGCGCATACTTGGGGATTTCACCTTTCCTCAAAACTGAGAGAGCATATTCC